CAGTCGCCTCTTCGGCATGGGCAAAATCAAGGGTAAGGAGAGTGGACTGCAAGTCGCTCCCAGAGCCTAAGGAATTGAATCGACGCTTACGAGCTCTTCGAATTAGTCATTTCAGGCCAAAATGAGCAATCTACTCCCTTCGCCGAGTTACTTTCAGCTCGGGAGTGGGGGGCAAATGATGAGGGCGGATTTTGGCCCTCCAATGATATTGTGACACATGGCACCTCGAAACAACTAGGTGACACCTGGAACCACTTAGCCATCAACTTGCCTTAGCCAAGTTGATGGTGTCCCACCTGGCAACCTAGCCCAGGTGCAACTTGACGGCCTGGCCCAAGCGCGACCTGGCGGCCTGGTCCAGGCACGAGCTAGCGGCCTGGCACGAGCGTCGACCTGGCGACCTGGCACATGCGCTGACCTAGCGGCCTGGCATGGGCGCTGACCTGGCGGCCTGCCACAGGCACGAGCTGGCGGCCTGGCACAAGCGCCAACCTGGCGGCCTGGCACAGGCACCAACCTGGCGGCCTGGCACAGGCGCCGACCTAGCAGCCTGCAAGACGTGCTCGCTGACGAATTCAGCATGCATATCCTAACACTCACACGATCCTTGGAAGTTGGCCCATGTACCGAACGATCCTGAGGGTGGTCAACGTGCATGGCGGTTACCTCCGAGAATCTCGGACCACTTAGACGGCCTCGCGAAAATCTTGGATGTGGTGCGTGAAGCCCACGCCAAACAATGCCTATATAAAGGCACCAACCCCAATGGCATGGGGGGGGGGGCAAGTAAGCATATTCTAGCTCTCATACTTTGTGATTTTTAGCTCGCAGTCTATTATGAGAGTACTGACTTAAGCATCGGAGCGACCTTGTGTTAGCCACCCCGGGTCCTCTGACATTGATTCCTTGCAGGTCTCTAAAGAACGACGAAGCTCAACAATCAATCCAACTCGGCCCTCTGGTCAGCTCGGCCCTCTGGTCAGCTCAGCACTTTGGTCAGCTCGTCACCTAACCTGCCTAGCTCGGCCCAGTCAGCTCGTCACTTAACCTGCCTAACTCGACCCAGTCAGTTCGGCACCTAACCAACCCAGCTCGGCCTAGTTAAATTGGCACCTAATATGC